GATTTGGGCACGGTGCAGCCAAGAGGTTCTTCTGCTAGCTTTGCGTGGAGCTTTCATGTGGGTGCTGTCAGCTGGCAACTCAGCCCGGTCGCCTCGCACTTGTCTGGCAGTTGGTATTAGCTGAGGACTACAGAAATCTAGCCCAGACTTGTCCACATGGTGGCAGCATCCCAGGGCAGGAGATCAGAAGCTGGAAGGAAGTCTCCAGAGGCCTAAGCTCCTAAATCACACACTGCCAATTCCGGCATGTGTTATTGGTCAAATCAAGTCACATGGCCAGTCAGCTTCCAGAACCAGGAAAATAGTTCCCTCCACTCCCTGGGAGCAACTGCAAAGAATGTGCCATGTTTAATCTATTACAGTACCCAAGGTTCCTAAGCTTTAATGCAACAAAGTACTACAAATTTAGTGACTTGAAACAAGGCAAATTTATTATCTTACAGTTCTGGAAGTCAGAAGTCTTAAAATTAAGGTGTAAGCAGCTATTGGTTCCTTCTGGAAACTCTAGAGGAAAATTTGTTTCCCTGCCTTCCCAGCTTCTAGAGGCCACCTTCATTCTTTAACTCATGGTCCCCTCCTCCATCTTCAAGACCAACAACAGCATCTTCAAATCTCTCTCTCTGATCGCTGCTTCCACAGTCACATTTTCCTCTGTGACCCTCCTGCTTTCCCCTTCCATTTTTTTTTTCAGACGGAGTCTCACACTGTCACCCAAGCTGGAGAGCAGTGGCGTGATCTCTGCTCACTGCAACCTCTGCCTTCTGGGTTCAAGTGATTCTCCTGCCTCAGCCTTAACATTTGTTAAGTCCCTTTTTGTCAAGTAAAGTGACATATTTACAGATTCTTAGAATTAAGATGCAGCTCACGCCTGTAATCCCAGCACTTTGGGAGGCCAAGGCGGGCGGATCATGAGGTCAAGATATCAAGACCATCCTGGCCAATGTGGTGAAACCCCGTCTCTACTAAAAAAAATACAAAAATTAGCTGGGCATGGTGGTGCGCGCCTGTAGTCCCAGCTACTTGGGAGGCTGAGGCAGGAGAATTGCTTGAACCTGGGAGGCGGAGGTTGCAGTGAGCCGAGATCATGCCACTGCACTCCAGCCTGGTGCCTGGCAACAGAACGAGACTCTGTCTCAAAAAAAAAAAAAAAAAAAAAAAAAAGATGCAGAAGTCTTTGGGAAATTATTATTCTGCTTGCCACCTTCAGAATCTTAAATCAAGGGAAACTATGTCACAGAATTCAAAGGGTCCAGTGGTCTAGCTTGGGCTAGCCTGCCAGACCCAGGGAATACAGATAAAATACAGGCAGTCAAGAGGCTGGGTTTTTCGAACAGACCAGGGTTTGAATTTTGGTTCATTATTTACTGGGTGGGTGACCTTGGGCAAGTTATTAATCTCTGAGACTGTTTTCTGAAGTGTAGGATGGAGATAATACCTATCTCATGGGACTACTGTGAGTTTTAAATGAGCAAATATATATTAAAGTGCTTCAGATGGTGCTTGGAACAGAATAAAAGCAAATGATGATCAGAAAGAGTCCTGGTTTGGTTTGAAGATTTCAGAAATGAGCCGGGCACGGTGGCTTACACCTGTAATCCCAGCACTTCGGGAGGCCGAGGCTGGTGGACCACCTGAGGTCAGGAGTTCGAGACTAGCCTGGCCAACATGGAGAAACTCCATCTCTACTAGAAATACAACATAAGCCAGGCATAGTGACGCATGCCTGTTATCCCAACTATTTGAAAGGCTGAGGCAAGAGAATCACTTGAACCCGGGAGGCAGAGGTTGCGGTGAGCCAAGATTGCACCATTGCACTCCAACCTGGGCAACAAAAGCAAAACTTCATCTCAAAAAAAAAAAAAGGAGATTTCAGAAATGAAGCTTCATAGGACTCCTCAGGGCTGTAAGTGGAACTGGTCACCCTGACTTAGGAGGACTAAGCAGAACAAGATGGTAAAAAGTTTTGGAAAATAAAATATGTGAGGGGTTTGGGATAATAAGGACAAACTTTCGGGTTTAGGAGTCACAGAACTAAGCGTGTATAGTAGTGGGAAGAGGCAATACTGCAATACAGTACTGTGGGCATGGCTTTTGTTTGCTTTGTTAATAAGGGGCATATTTCAGATCTTGGTGGAGAGGGGTGGGTGTAAGAAAAGGAGATGCCTAAAGTGCAGAAGACAGACAGTTTTCTGAGGCTCCAGAAAAATAAGCTATGGCTTTAGTGTTCCAGTGAGCTAGATTTCAGTGTTTCTGAAAAAGATAGCAAGTTTATATTTCAGGAGCACAGGTGAATTTGAGGTTAATATCACTTGGGGGAAAGAGTAAGTTTCACTGGTTCTCTCCAGATGATTTAAAAATTTTTTTTCCAATTTTGTGATGCACATGTCAGAGTACACATTATGGCACATTTTGCTTTATAGAAATGTATACCAATGAAACTTGTTCAAACTTAGCATAACCTACCAACAGCTATTTTATCATAAAATTCCAGGTAAATGTGGCCACAGGGATGTTTTCTTAATCTGTACATTTGAACCTGTGATCACATTGTGAATGTCCCAGTGGGTTTTTTAGATCCTGGAATAGTTGGATCTTTTTTTGTGGTTATTTCCTCTCTGTCAATGTATCAGAACTGGCAGATACCCTACTTTTCAGATTTCTTAGAATTGGCTTGAAAGGACAGACAGGCATCTTATATGACTTTTGGCTAATTCATGGTGGGTAAATCTGACTTTAACTGCATGGAGAACTATAATGGTGACTTTAAACTACTCCTGAATGAGGCTTTGGAGGGAAAGAAAGGGCATGTATGATGCGGAAGCTGCTCAGGAGCTGGAGGGGACAGGGTAGCGCTCACCAGGGGTGTGGAGGCTCCTGCCAGATCCCTTATGGGACATTAACCCTACCACACAGGGGATCTTTGAAGAAACATTGGGTCACTAAGGTCAGAGATTTATGAAGCTCCAGCACCCTCAAAGAGTCCTCTTTCCCTTGACCATGGGAAAAATAGGCTAAAGATAATGGAGGCCTCTGTATTTCCCACCTTAGGAAGAAGAAGGGGAGCAGGAATGCTTCCACTTGACTCTGGAAGATGTGTCTTAAACACAGACTGAGGATGCAATCCTCTCATAAGCAGCGATTCAGAATGAGGTAAGAAATCATGTGGGGGCAAGTCTCATCTAACTGTTTAGGGTGGGCAGTAAAGTGGTCTGAGGTGTCCACGTAAGTACTGAGAATGGGGATTATTTAACAGAATTTTGCAATCTTAGAGCTAGAAGGGACTTCAACAGCAACCTCATCCAATCTCTGTGTTGCCATGGAACTCTTTCTTCAAACAAAAGCTTCAAGGGAGCACAAATACAAATCCCTGTGAAAGCAGAATTGCTCTGGTTGCAGAGTGGGGGGAGGGGGAAACAAAAAATTTATTTATAAAATTAGAAAACTTTAAAAAATCATCATGGAAGAAAACTTTTATATTTATATGTATATCATAGGGCGGCTAAAGTTAACATTGATCACAAAAAATAAAATTTCCCAGACTAATAGATTCTTAATTTATAGCGTGAAGAGACTTTGACTCTTTACAGACATTTTTACTTGGAGTCATGAGAACAGAGATAAGACTTTCGGTCACACGGAAATGAGCCTTGGATGGGAATTTTTAAGATTTATGGGAACTGTGCTATGCTGATGTGGGACAATGAGCGTCCTAGTCCCAGCAGGTGGCGCCCGTGTTCGGCATTTTGAGAACGTTTGCTGTCTCCTGGACTTCAGAATCTGGACGGTGGCCTCGTGCTTGGTGGGTTTACTAGCTCGGACTGGTTCTTACTACCCATCTTCTAGGAGATTTTTTTCAAACAAACAAACAAACCTATGAAACATTTGACTGGATGCCACAGGAAAACACTTGTGTTCGGGTGTTTTAACCTCCAACGATGGAAATCTGCTTAACATTGGTGTTTCCGAGGTGTCTTAGCATCAGAAAAGGAAAAAGACACATACACAGATTCTAAGGAAAAAGGCAGGAAGGGCCTCCCAGGGGTCCAGGTGTGGCAGGAGGGCGGTTAGGCGTTAGAAGCTTCTAGTCCAGGTTTTGCCGCTTCACGGTCATGTTTCCTACACTGCCCTCCCGTCTGTGGCTGACTGTTGTAGGGGAATCAGACAAAGCCCGGCTTCTATCCTGGATCCCAGCTAAGTCTAAAAGACGAAAGTCGTCTGGTACGGTTAACTGAGATCAAATGCTCATAAACGGAGGCAGTGTCAATAAACGGGTTTATTATCATCGCTTTCTCATGTAACTCACCAACCCCCGTAGGACCGTCCTGCTGTGGGAAAGCCTAAAACAGTACACATGTTTTCATTCATTTAAAATTCATCTTGAAGCCGGAGGTTTTAGAACTTCCAGGACGCGACGTGCTGCTTAAGGGACCGCGGACCGTGAGGGGCGGGCAGCCCTTCTGAGACAGAAATCGCGAGTTATTACTTTCACCACTCCGCCGGACTCCCGTGTCCGTCCGCAGCTCCCGCCAGGGAATCCGAGCCGCCTAGGCCGCGGGCTCTTCGCCTCCCGCCTCCAGCGCCAGGCATAGCGCCGGCTAGGAGCGCCGCGCGGCCTACCCCAGCCACGGGCCCCGCCCCCGTGCGTCAGCGCGTAGCCGCGCCGAGGCGTTTCTCGGGGCGTGCCGCAGTTGCTAGGCGACCAGGCCGCTCCCCCTCCCGCCCCTGCCGCTGCGTCTCCCCACTACCCAGCCCCGGCCAGTCGGGATCGGAGGCGCGCGGACCTGCAGTGTCTGGCCGAGAGTCCCCGTGGGACCGTCGCGCCGCTGAGGCAGCCGTCCCGGCGTAGGTGGCGTGGCCGGCCGGACCCTCCAACTGGCGCCCCTCCCCGCGCGGGGTCCCGAACTAGCAGATGGGAGGCACAGCTCGCGGGCGTGGGCGGAAGGATGCGGGGCCGCCTGGGGCCGGGCTCCAGCCCCAGCAGCGGAGGTAACGGCGCCGCGGGGTAACGGGCTGGGGGCGCCACAGAGAGCGGCTGGCGCTGGTAGGCGAAGCTTGGGGGCGGAGAGGAGGTAGAGTGAGCCCTTAGCAGGAGGGACGAGGGCAGGGGTCTGTCTCCCCAGGACCACCCCATCTCGTCTCCATCAGGGCCTCCTCCCCCCACTTCGATTCACCGGGTGCGGGGGAGGGGGCTAGAGCAGAGTTAGAGCAAGAAGAATTTCCACCCCTGGATTACCTCTGAAACCCTAGATCGCCGATTGTGGTAAGGAGCTCCGAAAATCTAGGAGTTTTTGTGGGGCTTTTTAGCAAACCGGTAGAGCCCAGGAGCAATGCCTTGGAAAGAAGCCCTGTTGCTTAGAGCGGATAACCGAGAGCTGAACTCTTGGGGCTTTGCTGTGAGGGGTGCGGTCTGGCTTCGGATGTGCAGGTTATGGACTGTGCTGGGTACAGCTTTCTCCAGATCCTATTTTGAGAGATTCCCCATCTGGCGTTGTATTTTACACCTAAGTGGAGAGAAGAGACCTCCCTTTATTTGCATACAGACTCTTTTTAATTTCCTCGGGCTGTTAGTCACTAGGCAATCTTGCAGATTTTCTTTTTCTTTATAAATGTGGATGCTTGTCCTGGTTTGTTTTATCAGGCTTATGGCAAAGGGCCAGTCACATCCAGAATATTTGGTTTCTGTCGGTGAAGCAGTTCCCTGTTAAAAATATAGATATAGTCTGTCAGAATGTGAGCATGTTTTTTAAAAGGGCATTCCAAAAATATTTGTAGTGTTTTTTTCCCCTTTGTATTTTTATAACACATCTATAAAGAAAACTCTATAACGAATTTCACAAAACAGCTTTTAAAGGTGACCAAGATATTCCAGGATATTTTAAAAGACATTAAAAAAATTATTCCTCTGCAACATTGTCTTTGTAATATTCATTGTGTATCATGTAAAATGATACAATGAAATGCTGATTAACTGGGAAATCCGTGTTCTTGGTAGCAGATGAAATACATTATTCAGGGCCATCTTGTGGATTAAATAAATCCTCTCCGTCTTTTGTGTTCCCTTACAGTGGTGGAGCCACAGTGTTAAAGAACAGAGAAGTGATCCTTAATCATTTAGAATTTTGCCTCCACCATCCACCAGAAAATGAAGTGGAAAGAGAAGTAAATTCAATACATTTTATAATTTAGAGCATCCTTTTCGTGTTTGCTGTAGTACTTACTGTATTTTTCTACAAGTTAGGTAGATGTAAGTAGGTAAGTAAGTAAATGAATAAAGAGAAGACAGGCTGAAAAGGGCCTTTTATTTCTTGCCTGTAAGACCCAGAAGTGTGTAGACTGGAGCTAGTTTTCTAGGTAGCACAGCCAGTGTTAGAGCTGAGATTAGAATCCAAGTCACTGACTTTGAAAAACAATTACCTCTGTTAGTTTTTTCTGGTCTGTTTTTTTCTCTATGAGCTTCAGATTCAAACTAGCCTTTGTTTTCAAGTAGTACGTTATTATGAAATCCTTCTGTCCTTATTGTTTTTAACAACATTCAGAAAGACTTGTCTCAACTATTTTAAAATACAAACCTAGAAATGCTGTCCTTAAAACACAAAAGTTGGATTTCCTCTGTTCCTCTGCCAAATACCAGTTGTTTGTATTCAATGCCAAAATGCAGTGTAGACATTTATTTCTATTATTGTCCCTGGTAGCAGATATGAAGCAGTTAAGACACAGGATGTTTTGGAAAGACAAATTTGTATTCTTCAGTTACTGACAGATTTTATCTGTAATTCTTTCAATTAGGTTGGGGGATGGTGTCTATGATACCTTCATGGTAATAGATGAAACCAAATGCCCACCCTGTTCAAATGTACTCTGCAATCCTTCTGAACCGCCTCCACCCAGAAGACTAAACGTAAGTAAAAGAAGTAATTCTGTGTACATTAATTGTTTTGGAAAGGAGGAAGTGCTACTTAATGCTCAAGGTACTCTTATGTTTCACTGATAACCAGACTTTGTTTCTTTTCGATTTCTCTTGACTTTGAAATGACGATGTCTGTGGTCCAAATTTACCTTTTCGGAATGGTTTTGATTTGGAACCCACCCTTTTATTTCCATCTCCACTGGGATAAATATAAAGCACTAGGAAATAAAATAGTATGCTACTTAAATGTAGGTAATGCTTATTTTTGTATAGGATCACATACACCTGGTATTACAAAGGCTCCTTTTAGCAAAAATAAGAAACAGAAAACGTCTCGGAATTCATAGATCTGCAGGAGTTTTTTCCCCCTGCAAGATGGAAATGCAGTCCTCGTTTATTAGTGTGCTAAAGAGAACCAAAGTATTTCATAGATAGATCATAAATAAAACAGTTTGGTTTTTGATGCATCATTTTGGGGGCTGCAGACAACTTAGCTTTTTTTTTTTTTCTAACTTAAGATAAAATAATTCACATTCCCTCAGCATGCATAAAGTAGTAGGCAGAGCAGGGTTTGGCCAGCTTCCATGACAAGGAGAGGCTATCCTATGACTTTAAAATTTGCTGTGAATGTCATCAGATGAACAAAGTGAATAATTGAATTGACTCATTTGTAATATTTCTTCTTCTTCTTCTTCTTTTTTTTTTGAGATGGAGTCTCGCTCTGTTGCCCAGGCTGGAGTGCAGAGGTGCAATCTTGGCTCACTGCAACCTCCACCTCCTGGGTTCAAGCAATTCTTCAGCCTCAACCTCTTGAGTAGCTAGGATTACAGGCGTGTGCCACCATACCTGGCTAATTTTTTTTTCACCTGTTTTCAACAATTTTTGCTTAAAAACCACCTTTTTCCACCTTTCCCCCCTCTCCCTCCTGAGATGGAGTCTTACTCCTTCATCCAGGCTGGAGTGTAGTGGCGTGATCTTGGCTTATTGCAATCTCTGTCTCCCAGGTTTGAGCAGTTCTCCTGCCTCAGCCTCCTAGGTAGCTGGGGTTACAGGCGCCTGCCACCGCACCCAGCTAATTTTTGTATTTTTAGTAGAGACTGGGTTTCACCATGTTGGTCAGGCTGGTCTCGAACTCTTGACCTCAGGTGATCCACCTCAGCCTCCCAAAGCAATGGGATTACAGGCATGAGCCACTGCGTCTGGCTCTTTCCCCACTTAGAACTCAAATAATATACAAAGTGTAAGCTAAAAATATTTTAAAGGCTGATAACCCTATTTTTCATCCCCTTTCTGGAGTGCAGTGGGGTTTCTTTCCATTCTTTGCAAGTTTATTTCTTAAAACATCAGAATGTCTAAGACCTTCAGAACCATATACACCTTATGTTGACCGTCAGATTGCTTGCTTACTTCCTGCCAATTGGCTCACCTCTGTAGGAAACTATTTGCAATTGGGTTGAAGTGTTAGCATCACTGACTTTCAGTCATTTTACCTTTGACTCAGAGTTAGCCATTGCTATTTACCTTCCAATAGGTCACTTATATTGCATGTTTCAGGATCAGAATGAATGGTGTTCAGAATAACGCTTTTGTGGGGGAGCAAGAAGACTTTAGATTCTAACTCAATGATGTCTTTACTCTTTTTTTTAATTTTTTTTTTGAGACAGAGTCTTGCTCTCTCACCCAGGCTGGAGCACAGTGGCACAATCTCGGCTCACTTCAACCTCCGCCTTTCGGGTTCAAGCAATTCTCCCTGCCTCAGTCTCCCGAGTGGCTGTGATTACAGGCACCTGCCACCATGCCTGCCTAATTTTTGTATTTTTAGTAGAGAGGGGGTTTTGCCATGTTTGCCAGGCTGGTCTCGAACTCCGGACCTCTGGTGATCCACCTGACTCAGCCTTCCAAAGTGCTGGGTTTATAGGTGTAAGCCACCATGCCTGGCCATCTTTACTCATTTTGCTGGAAAAAAGTGTCTTTTGACCTCTTGGTACCACTTACATTTCATTATGCCACGACTCTATCCCGAGATCCTGTTGCTCTTTTTACCAAGTCTTTTAGCTTTATTTATTCAAGATGGTCTTATGTTCTCATGGTAAACTATAAATCATCTGCCCAAATGCTTTTATTGGGTTAAGTTTTGCGTTGCAGGGATTTAGGGCTTGGGAGCAGGGAAAAAGGTGGGTTTTATATTTGGATGAGAAGGTTGTTCCTTTTGAATTTCTCAACAAGATTTTTAAGACTTGATTAATACAGTAGAAGATTCTATTTGAAATGCCACAAGCCCTTGAAATCAGTAGTGTATATGAAGCATTCTTATGAAATGCAATGTGATAAATCTGACATTATTCATCTCTCTGGATATATTTACAGGGTTAAGTAAATACTTGGTAGAGTCAATTATATACATTGCTTCGTTATTGTGATTTTAATGTGATTATAACCCTAGAGTAGAAATATTTAATGTTTTTTTCAGTAGTTTTTTGGGGATCAGGTGGGTTACATGAATAAGTTCTTTAGTGGTGATTTCTGAGATTTTGGTGCACCTGTTACCCTAGCAGTGTATACTGGACCCAGGGTGTAGTCTTTCTGTCACTCCTGCCCGCAGTATCCCTTGAGTCCCCAAAGTCCATTGTGTCACTCTTATGCCTTTGCATCCTCTTCATTGCTTAGCTCCCACTTATGAATGAGAACATACCATGTTTAGTTTTCCATCTCTGAGTTACTTCTCTTAGAATAATGGTCTCCAGTTCTGTCCAGGTTGCTGTCAATGCCATTATTTCATTCCTTTTATGGCTAAGTTGTATTCCATGGTGTGTGTGTGTGTGTGTGTATATACACCATAATTTATCTACTCCTTGACTGATGGGCATTTGGGGAAATATTTAGCATTTTGAAACAATTAGACTTTAATTTGTGTGAACACTGTAGAGTTTTCTAGAATAATGGAAGGAAGTTTTATTTATAGCACCTCAGACTTGATATGTAATTGATTCAGGCCAGTATTTGGGTTATTTGTAGGAAAGGAAAGGAAGTTAAGAAGAGAACCCCTCCCTGTGTAGAAAAATTATCTCCCATAATTCTCCAGTTTCACTGGAGAGGATGATATTGATAGTGTACTACACTGAAGTAGCATACTCTGTTCTGGAAGGCATGCTTCAAGAGAGACATAAAGTGCAACCTATGTTGAGAATGTGAACAGGAGAGTAAGAGAGCCTGACATGTTGGGTGAGGTAAGGAGGACATAGTGGGGAACCTACAGAATGGTGGCGGTAGGCACAGCACGGCCCCTTTTAGGTATCCACAGGGCTCCTACTTGAAATTTGGACACTTCTGTGTAGTTCCGAAAGGCAAAGTCAGAATTATTTTGTGAGGAGAGAAATTTAGGCTTACTTTAAGGAAAAACCATGAATCATGGACTCCAATCATGGCATATTTAATATTATTGTAATAGTTCTGTGGAAATTACATTTCTGATGTATGTGTTCTTATTAATGTTGTGTACTTGAGACGTTCTTATTATCACAAACAGAAATGAAGGGTTCTAGAGCCAGTGCAGCCTTACACATAGGCAGAACAGGGGAAATTCCAAGGGACAGACCCTGCACCGCAAGTACCTTTCCTAGCAGCTTGCCACTGGTGACTGCAGTTCCTAGGGAACTGTTCCTTTGGGTTAGGGCATTGAGGTTCTGTTGAAGTTCAACTATCCATGGAGAGGTAACACAGTAAATTGTATAGCGGGTGGAAAGCATGTTTTATATGGAGAGAAAGTGGGTGAGGCAATTCCATGTATCCTAAGTGAAGGCCTATTGTGGGTGTCGTCATTAAGCAAAAGGCATAGTTAGTGCTAGACGCTTGATGGAGGGAGATCAGACTAGAGAAACTGAGGAAGCCACCAGAGAGAGAAGAGAGAAAGGGGAAGAGGAAGGATGTATAGGAATTTAAACTTTAATGTATTGAGAATTTTGCCAAAATGTAATCAGTGTCTTTTAAATATTTTATGGTTGGTGAAATTAGAATTATTAATTAGAATTTGATCCACACAACATCCTGCAAGTAGATATTATTATCCACATCTTACAGATAAAGAAACTGAGGCTCAGGAAGGCAACAGGGATCTACAGCTTCTTTTTCTTTTCTTTTTTTTTTTTTGAGATGGAGTCTTGTTCTGTCTCCCAGGATGGAGTGCAGTGGCGTAATGTCATTCAGTGCAACCTCTGCCTCCCAGGTTCAAGTGATTTTCCTTCCTCAGCCTCCCAAGTAGCTGGGATTACAGGCACACGCCACCATGCCTGGCTAATTTTTGTATTTTTAGTAGAGACGGGGTTTCACTATGTTGGCCAATCTGGTCTTAAACTCCCAACCTCAGGTGATCTGCCCACCTTGGCCTCTCAAAGTGTTGGGATTACAGGCCTGAGCCACCACACCCAGCTGGACCTACAGCGTTAAGTAGTGTAGCCAGGACCCCAACCCAGGCCTTCTGACTTCATGTTTCTTCAGGATGTGTTTCAAAGACTTAGGCAGTAAATATTTAGATGTATTAAAGTTAGTAACGATTTTAAGGAAAACTAGCCAAGATGCATGCAGATGTTTGTTTTTATTATGTAAATCTAATTAAAACCAAACAATTAAAATATTTTCCTAGTTCCACCAAATTTATTTCCTAATAGATTGTAGGCTGGAGTGCAGTGGTGCGATCTCAACTCACTGCAACCTCCACCTCCTGAGTTCAAGTGATTTTCACATCTCAGCTTCCTGAGTAGCTGGTACTACAGATGTGTACCACTACTCCTGGCTAATTTTGGTATTTTTATTAGAGATGGGGTTTTGCCATGTTGGCCTTGCTGGTCTTGAACTCTTGATCTCAAGTGATCCACCCACCTCGGCCTTCCAAAGTGCTGGGATTACAGGAGTAAGCCACCACGGCCGACCAATATGTAGATTCTATATGCAGCCCTGTTTATTTTCTTGACCAGTGATAATTTTCTACTTTGGTATCAGAGAGACTGTATCTGGCCCCTTTATTTTAAAAATAAATGCCAGGCTATGGCTGCATTTGAACTGGCTCTTTGACTTTGTTTAAGATCATATAATACATCATGTAACTGTAAGTGTTCTACAAATATCTAAATTGATCAAATGACTTTTAAAAAGGAGGAAGCAGGACTTTTGTAAGTGAATTACGGGGGCTGTTTGAGGTATGCCTACACTTAAATTTTTGTCATTTATGGTTTTTCTTTTTGAGATAAAGTCTCATTCTGTCACCCAGGCTGGAGTGCAATGGTGCTGTGTCAGCTCACTGCAACCTTCACTTCCTGGGTTCAAGTGATTCTCCTGCTTCAGCCTCCCAAGCAGCTGGGATTACAGTCCTGCACCACCATGCCTGGCTAATGTTTGTGTTTTTAGTAGAGATGGGGTATCACCATGTTGGCCAGGGTGGTCTCAACTCCTGACCTCATGGTCCTCCCACCTCAGCCTCCCAAAGTGCTGGGATTACAGGAGTGAGCCACTGCACCCGGCCTCATTTATGTTTTTTAATAATGTTTTTTGTTATTTGTTTTGATAATTTATAAATACAATTTTTGTTTTGCTTAGGTTATATTAGAATTTCTAGTTTTTAAAGGTTTGGCCACTTTTTAGCTTACATTTTTAGAGATTATAACTGTAGCCCAGAGCTCCTCCAGAATTATCTGTTCCTCATACTATAGGCTCTCTAAAATTATCAAACAGATAAAGGACATTTTTCAGGATCCATTGAGAAAAATAGTTGTTCTTTTAAGTGTCCTAGACTTCCTTTTATTTTTAACAACAGATTTAACATTTTTATCTTTCCAACCCCTTCTTAATATTTTTCACTTCTTTCTTTTCTTTTTTTTTTTTTTTTTTTTTTTGAGGCAGTCTGCCACTTTGTTGCCCAGGCTGGAATGCAGTGGCCTGACCTCGGCTCACTATAGCCTCCACCTTCCAGGTTCAAGCTATTCTCCTGCCTCAGTCTCCCGAGTAGCTGGGATTACAGGCGTGCATCACCACATCTGGCTTTTTTAATTTTATTTTTTTATTTTTTAGTAGAGGTGGGGTTTTGCCATGTTGGCTAGGCTGGTCTCAAACTTCTGGCCTCAAGTGATCTGCCTGCCTTGACCTTCCAAACTGCTGGGATTATAGGCATGAGCCACCATGTTTTTTATTTTTTATTTTATTTATTTTTTGAGATGGAATCTCTCTCTGTCGCCCAGGCTGGAGTGTAATGGCATGATCTTGGCTTACTGCAACCTCCACTTCCCAGGTTCAAGCGATTCTCATGCCTCAGCCTCCCAAGTAGCTGGGATTATAGGCATGCATCATCATGCCTGGCTAATTTTTATATTTTGAGTAGAGACAAGGTTTCATCATGTTGGCCAGGCCAGTATTGAACTCCTAACCTCAGGTAATCTACCTGCTCGGAGTAGTTCTAAGTGGAAGAGAGAGGAACTGCATTGGGCTTTGGAGGAATGTAGAAGTTGAGGGGATGAAGAGGTGGAAGGATTCTCAGTACAAGGACACATCTGTAAGAAGGAACCTGGCATGTTGGGGGCGTGGGAAGACCATATTGTCTTGAACAAAGCAAGGCATGTATGGGGATTACGGATGGCTGCAATATTCAGGGAGTCTGGAAACTAATATAACACAAGTTGCTAGAGACTGTTGCTTTTCTTATCTCCTTTTTGAGTCATCTTAACTTTAAAGTAAACATGACTGGACATGTTTTGTTGTTATTCAGTCAGAGGAGGGAGGATTATTCCATCTTTCTAATGTTTTAATGACTTTAACATTGGATTCACTTTCTCTTTCATAGATGACCACTGAGCAGTTTACAAGAGATCATACTCAGCACTGTTTGGATGGAGGTGAGATGAAGGTAGAACAGCTGTTTCAAGAATTTGGCAACAGAAAATCCGATACTCTTCAGTCAGATGGCATCAGTGACTCTGAAAAATGCTCTCCTACAGTTTCTCAGGGTAAAAGTTCAGATAGCTTGAATACAGTAAAACCCAGCAGTTCATCCAAGGCACCCAAAGTGGTGCCTCTGACTCCAGAACAAGCCCTGAAGCAATATAAACACCACCTCACTGCCTATGAGAAGCTGGAAATCACTAATTATCCGGAAATTTACTTTGTAGGTCCAAATGCCAAAAAAAGACATGGAGTTATTGGTGGTCCTAATAATGGGGGTTATGACGATGCAGATGGGGCCTATATCCATGTACCTCGAGACCATCTAGCTTATCGATATGAGGTATTGAAGATTATTGGCAAGGGGAGCTTTGGGCAGGTGGCCCGTGTGTATGATCACAAACTCCGACAGTACGTGGCCCTAAAAATGGTGCGCAGCGAGAAGCGCTTTCATCGCCAAGCAGCCGAGGAGATCCGGATTTTGGAGCATCTTAAAAAACAGGATAAAACTGGTAGTATGAACGTTATCCACATGCTGGAAAGTTTCACATTCCGAAACCATGTTTGCATGGCCTTTGAACTGCTGAGCATGGACCTTTATGAGCTGATTAAAAAAAACAAGTTTCAGGGTTTTAGCGTCCAGCTAGTACGCAAGTTTGCTCAGTCCATCTTGCAGTCCTTGGATGCCCTCCACAAAAATAAAATTATTCACTGTGATCTAAAGCCAGAAAACATTCTCCTGAAACACCACGGGCGCAGTTCGACTAAGGTCATTGACTTTGGGTCCAGCTGTTTTGAGTACCAGAAGCTTTACACATATATCCAGTCTCGGTTCTACAGAGCTCCAGAAATCATCTTAGGAAGCCGCTACAGCACACCTATTGACATATGGAGTTTTGGCTGCATCCTTGCAGAACTTTTAACAGGACAGCCTCTCTTCCCTGGAGAGGATGAAGGAGACCAGTTGGCCTGCATGATGGAGCTTCTAGGGATGCCACCACCAAAACTTCTGGAGCAATCCAAACGTGCCAAGTACTTTATTAACTCCAAGGGTATACCTCGCTACTGCTCCGTGACTACTCAGGCAGATGGGAGGGTTGTGCTTGTGGGGGGTCGCTCGCGTAGAGGTAAAAAGCGGGGTCCCCCAGGCAGCAAAGACTGGGGGACAGCACTGAAAGGATGTGATGACTACTTGTTTATAGAGTTTTTGAAAAGATGTCTTCACTGGGACCCCTCTGCCCGCCTGACCCCAGCTCAAGCGTTAAGACACCCTTGGATTAGCAAGTCTGTCCCCAGACCTCTCACCACCATAGACAAGGTGTCAGGGAAACGTGTAGTTCATCGTACAAGTGCTTTCCAGGGATTGGGTTCTAAGCTGCCTCCAGTTGTTGGAATAGCCAGTAAGCTTAAAACTAACCTAATGTCAGAAACCAATGGTAGTATACCCCTATGCAGTGTATTGCCAAAACTGATTAGCTAGCAGACAGAGATATACCCAGAGATGCATATGTATGTATTTTTATGATCTTGCAAACCTGCAAATGGAAAAAAATGCAAGCCCATTGGTGGATATGTTTTTGTTGGACTAGATTTTTTTTTTTAACAAGACAAAACATTTTTATATGACTATAAAAGAATCCTTCAAGGGCTAATTACCTAACCAGCTTGTATTGGCCATCTGGAATATGCATTAAATGACTTTTTATAGGTCAATGCATCTTTGTTATTATTGTCAGATATATTTCAACTGATATACTATTGGTTTGAATCTCTTTCTCTCAGTATAGAAGGTGTATCAAAAAATGTATCCTAACTACTCACTTCTAGTGTCCCCTGGCGTCTGTTCTGGTGGGGTAATTTGGGATGTGGTCGTAGTTGTGAATAAGAGCCAGTGCTAGGTCCCTTGCCCTAGTAGGCCATCCTCTAGAGTCATTCTTGGTGAAAGAGCTCACAGCAGACTCTGGGGTGGGGGAGCACCAGGAAGCTGTTGGTGACCTGGACAATTGGTGTCACTGTTTTTCAATGACTCATTCCTCTTCCCTTCAATTCTCTGATGTTTGGTGTTATTATTTTATTATGTCGTTATTATTTTGCCTCTGATTTGTTTCCTTGTCACTCAGGGCATTTTACAGATGTCCTACCACTTTACCAAATAACCCTGTAAGGTGCTGATTTAAAAACTGAGTCATATGCATCCCTTCTTCTTCCCTCTCCCATGCCCAAGGAAGATAAAACAGCTTCTCTGCCCCAGTTGACCCAGAATGGTAAAGATAGAGAATCAGCATGAAAACTGTAGTTCCCCAGCTTTGTGGTACTCCACGGACCAGCCTCCTTGCTGCATTTTCATAGAGTCTCTTCCTTATAAAAGTAATCACTCTCAGGTAAAGCTTACTACGGTTTAAAAATGCTTCTTTTACAATTTTCTCCTTTCTTTACAGCTACTTGCCACCTTAATGTGCCACATTTTTTTCCCACTTTCACTTTAAGCTTAAAGTGAAATTCCCTAGATCTGAGTGAACTTCAGTTAAAAGAAGAAAACTCTAAAAATCCAGAAGCTGTTGATAATCAAGTTTTCCCCTTTACGTTCCTTAATTTTATTCTCTTCAACAGCTTTTCTTTTTCTCTGCTAAGATTTAAACAGTGAGGGCTGATAATAAAACCAATTGCTAGGCTGAGTGCAGTGGCTCACACCTGTAATCCCAGCACTTTGGGAGGCCAAGGAGAGCGGATCACAAGATGAGGGGTTCAAGACCAGCCTGACCAACATGGTGAAACCCATTCTCTACTAAAAATACAAAAATTAGCTGGGCACGGTGGCACATGCCTGTAATCCCAGCTACTCAGGAGACTGAAGCAGGAGAATCGCTTGAACCCAGGAGGCAGAGGTTGCAGTAAGTTGAGATTGTACCACTGCACTCCAGCCTGGGCAACAGAGTGAGACTCCATCTCAAAATAAAATAAAATAATTTTTTTTTACTTAGAAGGGTGGAGATGGGACAGAAACTAACTCACTGCTGCTGGTGAGTCTGTCCGCTGCTGGGTTTTGTTTGTTTTTTTTTTTTCTGTCCCTTCCTCTATTTCTGTCCTTTTCCAGAACAAAAATATGCTCAAGTTCTATCCTAAATGTATGCCCTTTGGGAGGCTGAGGTGGGTAGATCCCTTGAGCCCAGGAGTTCGAGACCAGCCTGGGCAACCTGGTAAAACCCTGCCTCTCCAAAAAGTACAAAAATTAGCTGAGTATGGTGGTACATGCCTATAGTCCCAGCTACTTGGGAGGCTGAGGCAGGAAGATCACTTGAGCTGAGATCATGGCAGTGCACTTCAGCCTGGACAATAGAGTGAGACTCTGTACAAAAAAAAAAAAAAAAAAAAAAAGTGTGCTCTTTAATATTTAGAACATTTGCTTTCCACAATGTAGTTTTCAGAGTGATCCAGTTCCATTTATTCTAGAACGTAGAGGGCAAACTCAGTGAGATTGGAAAGAGGCTCTTTTTGTTGGGCAATGCCATAACAAGAAAAGAAAAATACCACGGGTATATTATTTAAGGAACTTTTTCCTTATCCAAAAGTAGTCATGATTGCTGTAGCATAGGCTGTAAAAAATGAGAAAGCGTAAATCTCACTGATGGTAGCATTATAAACGTCCAGAGTGGCTTCAGTCTCCCAGGTACAGGGCCAGATGGCAGAGAACAGCTTAAACTGAGCCTTCAGCCTCATTAATAGAAGGAAGTATTGGTACTTTTGGTGACTAAGTAACTGGATTATTTAAAACCTTAATTATCTCCTTTACTTCTGCTTTACAGAGTGCAATTAATATACAACTCCTTTAAATCCCTCTAATTCCTACAGAAGTTTCTTCGTTTTAAGTCTGCATCCTATCTCTTGATTCCATTTCTGAAGAAGCCGTGTGAAATTAGTCTGGTCATTGGTTTTCTTCTCTGGTAGTGCCATGCGGATCTCCTCACACGATATACTCAGTGCTGCTCATAACCCATCCTCGTCTTCTTTACTCATCACTGCTTTCTTGAAGGGAGGTCATGAGACTGCCTCGTCTACTACCTCATGATCTCTAGTCGAGATAGTGATGCTTTGGAAGATTCGGAGTCTCTGAATGAATTGTCCAACTTCTGCTTCCCCGCATTAACCACTTTGCAAAGGTTTGGGAACTTTGCAGGTGCTAAATCTCAATGGCCATGAAGACGAAACACCGTGAGAAATGGGAACATCTCTTCACCGTGGATCAGCCTTCTTTCAACTGCTAAGAAATGCTTGCTTTCTCTGCCAACTCCAGGAAGTGGTACAGGATGACTGAATCCTTCAGTGAATCCTTTCATCGTAACATAGGGTGTAAAAGCTCATATCTACTCAAAATGCTCATATATACTTTTTCAGTAGATATGAGCTTACACTGGCTTATGAATGCTTTTGCTCTAGGCCCAACAGTGCCATGACCCTCCAGTTGAAACAAAGCATGAGTTATTTTTATATTGAATCCTTGAACTGCTAGCCAGATAGGTGTTTCCTTAAAGTCCAGAGCAGGTTCCAAGTCAGATGAAGAAGGTGGCACCCTGGCTTAACTGCAGATTAGGGAGCATGGAACCTCTACAATTTGCTATGTTGGATTTCTGCTTGGGATTCTCACTGAGTAGTAAATTAGGGAAAATGGTGCTTTTACTATTTTGCATTTTGTATCAACATTAGCAGCCTGTTCCCACTCGGGTGCTGTCCAAAGCACATGTTTCTTTGGGATGTTTGGACAGAACGATCTGGCTTGATATATTTCCTGGGCTCTGGTACCACATCATAGAGTTGGTTAAATGTAGCCAGCAGCAGTGTCAGGACAGTTGACACTGTCTTCCAAGAGTGAATGTGTTGGCCTTTGGAACTGCCACCAAAGCCAACAAGCACATCTTTATGTGGCAGCAAGGCTAACATCTGATTGACACTGATCTGCAGTCTCTAACACTATATTGCTGTTGTCCTGAGTTTTCTAACTTGGAGAAATTTAAGAGTCTCCTGTATTATCTAGGCGGAACATACGTTGAGGTTGTTTTGCCGGTTGTTATCAATGTTGAAGAACTGCTCCTGTAAGCAAACTGTGTTAAAAGGATTGCCACCCCAAACGCATCTGACGTACACCGGGTGATGGTGTTTGTGTTTTTAATGAGAGATCTTAGTTAGCCAGTACTGTGCCTGAACTTGGCAGAGACAGGAGCCTTTGGCTGAGGTTGGTGTGTGCTCTATTTCTGTGTATCGAATGGACTGAGGTTACTGACACTGGGCTAAGCCAAAGGGTATAGACAACTCATTACACTATAGACAGATTTTAGAAAGCTACGGGAAGGCAGATGGATGTTTCTGCCTAAATTTGGCAACCTAGAGAGTGATGCAGAGCAGAGTCATGGAAGTTGGCACGCCTGTCTTCTGCAGGCCAATTCAAGTTTGAGGAGAGTGGGCTGCTTTAAAACATGGTGCTCGTGCAGATGGATTTGAGGGAGTTTATGTGTATAGAGTTTCAAGCTTAGGGACAAGATTTGGTTTTTAGAGGCAGTAACCCTGTGCCACCTTTCTGGCCACTGTTAAAGTTTCACTTGGATCCCTGCCCAGCCATAGCAATGAGTGACTGACTTGGATCCGAGTTGGAGCAGAAATTCAGACTGTCTCTTCCTCAGTTACTGGATTGTTCTTTAGCCATTTTTGTTCTTCTAGTCATTTCAGTCAAACTGGTTAGGTTGGGTGACTTCCTGATTTCTAAATTGACAAAATCGAATTTCCAAATTGCTTCTGACATGGCGAGAGTTGGGTTAGAATTTTTATTTCATTCCCCAAGTCGCTTTTTCTTTTTCTTTTTGAGTCAGAGCCCGACTCCGTCATGCAGGCTGGAGTGGAGTCATGCAGTATTGGCTCACTGCAGCCTCAACCTTCCAGTCTCAGGTGATTCTCCTGTCTCAACCTCCAAAGTAACTGGGACTACAGGCACGCAGTACCGTGCCTGGCTAATTTTTTGTATTTCTGTAGAGAAGGTGTTTCACCATGTTGCTCCGGCTGATCTTGAACTCCTGGGCTCAAATGATCCACATGCCTTAGCCTCTCAAATTGCTGGGATTATAGACATGAGCCACCATGCTGCCAGCCTCATTTTTTCTTTCGGAATGGAAAATTGCCTAATCCAGCTAATACCTGCTCATCTTCTTGTATTCTGTCCTACCTTCTACCCTCAGAGTGATTGATGTACTCTTTCATCACGTACTATATGGCTTCTCCTTAGATTAAAAAGTAAGCTTCAAATGGGCAGGCCCATGTTTGCATAATGTTCTGAAGGAACAGATTTTGATGCCCGCTGATCATGTGCAGGTGATGAAAGCTCATTTCCTTTCATGAACCAGGAGCATGCTCACCTCTTCTTTGAAGTTGACCCACGCAATCGCTGATGTCTTCTTTTTGGGAGAGGGTAATCAGATAAGGATCATGTGAGGACATTTTCTTCTGGTCCAGTGTTAGACACAGTTACCTTGATAATAGTGAAAAGGAAAGTGAATACCACCAAAACCTAACTATGATATAAGGATTCTGCTTCTGCCCCACAGGGGCTCTGAAAGAGTCTAGGCTTCCCAGAGGAAGTTTGACTGATGACCATATTAGTGTGCTTTGCTCCTAGGTGTTTAAGGGAGTTGGGGCAGACAGATTAGCTGGCTAATGTCATTACATTTTAGTTTT